CATGCAATATGGATCAGTACAGTACGCTCGTAGATCTCTACTCAGTAGCTCAGGTGGACGGAGAACGTGCGTTTTACGACTCCGAGCTAGATCCCATGGCCCAGCTAGCCAGGTCTGAGCCGTGCATGTCTCGTAGTGAGGATACTTTAGATCTACAACCGTGCGCGCGGGTGGAACAACACGGCGCGCGCTGCCTGCACGGGACGTACAAAGCGGGTGAAACTATTAATTTTTTCTTTTTATGAAAATGGAACCAAAAACTTGAGCGATTATTTTTTGGCGAATGGAATGAAAATCAACAAAAATAATGATGAAAAGCCCTTGCCTAGCGCCTGTGCATGCATCATGCCGCGCAAGCAGGATAGGTTCGATTCTCAGTACTGCAGACTGTGTGTCCATGGTGTCAGTGTCAGAAGAAGTAACAGTTGTGACTTTCTTGAACAGATCACAATGAATCATAAGTATTAGTAGAGAAAAGGGAGGAAGTAGTTGCAACACAACACCTACAGAATGATCAGTCCGTTGAGTACAGCAGGTTTGGTCTTGTAACCGATTTCGGTACTGCCAAAATGCCTACGAACCCGTCCAGTGCAGCTGGCGATGTGCCAGGTCGTGGGAAGAGACAAGTTGCTAACTCGCCAATGGCTGCAGGTGTGCTAGCTTTTGAGAACCGGACGGATAACACGGGTCGTAACAGTTCATCCGATGGCACTACCGGCCAGCTCTCTGTTGGAGGTAGGCCAGCCCTGCCCCAGTTTACCTCTATCATTGTTGTACCTTGCTTGCTTCTGTTCGAATTATTATTTTTGCAACTCAGTGTAATTGCAATCGTTATGGCTTATTCGCTTTCTGGCTTCTGACCGTTGGAATTCTCTCCCAGCTGACATTCGCTCTTGCTCCTCGTTTTCACTATTCCTCAAATCTGTACGTGATCCACATAAGGCACCCTGTAAAAAAGGCCGTAGGCCTGTGGGGATTGCCCTATTCAAAATTTTAAATAATAATAATAATGCAATGAATATAACTAAATGCGCACTCATATCACAACCTTGGGACGAATAATGTATTCCAGAACGTTTTCTTGTCACAATTATCAATGGAATTCGTGACTAAAGAGAATGATGAAACTACAATTTTTTTTATACACTTGGAGTGAAACAACGAGGATACAGTAGGTATCGGTTATAGCGTGGGTGTTTGAAACACGACTTTCTATTCTTATTTCCGATATTTCTTACGCGCGATAAATATAGTGTGACGTATCATTTGCACGTGCGCAGAGCCAGGAAGATCATCATACATGCAACGTAGTGCTGCTGTGTATGCGGTTGCTCGTACTTCCAAAGTCGTCCCATACTGGGCCATAGCCTGCATACCTGGTAGGTTCACCATGTGGCTGAGCAACATGAGTTACATGACGACAACAGATGCACTTGCAGCGTTATATGATGCAATTCGAGTCGGTTCAGAACTGTATCGGGCAGATGTTATTACTACAGGCGATACACTTTGTTCTAATCTGGCATGTTTTGCTACACAAAGTCCATTCTTAGGACCGATATATTCTATTACACGATAACATTGCTTGTAAGAATAGATATACGCATGAAACTCATGTTATGATTATGAAAATATGAGAGTTCATTCTTGTAGGCAGTATATTCTTTCACTCGACCACGCTATAACCGATACGCACTGCACAAGCATAGTAAGAAAGATAGCACAAACTTAGGAAAAATTTGCACAGGTAGTAAAAACTATAGGTGAGGTGAGAAATGATAGGAAATTCAGCAAGTGCAGTGTGACAATGGACATGCATGTCATGTGCAAGTGTGTGTGAGTGCGAATTTACTGGAATAGTGTAATAAGAATAACTCAATGTAATTGGGCCTCGGGGTGAAAGCAGTAAAACGTCATTGCAAAACCCTCCTGAAATAACATACCTTTCTCTTTGCATCGGATATAACGTACTTTCTTGAAGATCCTGATAGCGTATCAGGGCGTATGATAAGAAATTCGAAGTGCTCGGCATATCCCTAATGATGCCCTCCTGGGTGAAAATCTGGACAATTTCAACTGTACGTGGTGTAGCCAAGGACTGTTCGTGTGTTGCGAGTTAGGTGTACAGAAAGTATGACAAGGCTACATTGGAGCTTCAAAGTTCTTAAAAACAATACTTTCCCAATAAAAAGGATTAACTGCGCACTCATTCTATAGAAACACTAAGGCAAACGCAACCATCAAGGCAAACGCAACCATCAAGGCAAACGCAACCATCAAGGCAAGCATTCATGCAACCTTACCCACCACCTTTACCTTGATGGTTGAGAATGAGTGCGCAGTTGATCCTTTTTATTGCCATAACTAAATTGTTCTCTCCACGTAGGTTAAAAATTTTTTTTCCCACTTGCCACTTCTTTTGCTGTGTGCTTTGTTGTCATAGTGATCAGCGCTCACAATCTGACTGCAATGGATGTGGGCGGTGCGTCCGACCCCTACTGTGTTGTACGTGTGGGCAAGTCCACCAAGCAGACATCCATCAGCCTGAACACGCTGCAACCGGAGTGGAAAGAAGTGCTCACGTTCAAAGTAAGTGCAACCAGCAGCACATGGATACAGTCAGATCTCGCTTATCCGGTCCTCTTTTATACGGATCCCTCGCCATCCGGAAGAAAATCGTTGGTTACCAGTTTGCAGAATATGTCATGCATACATTGTACATACAGCATGCGTGTCACACGTGTGTGTGGGTCACCGGTGTACATTCGTGCGCGCTTGCACCTTGGTCCTTGGTAACACTGCCATCAAATGGTCACGTGTCCCCTGTGCAGGGGTCGACAGCACTGAGTTCAGCATTGGATCCAGAAACGCCGCTCTACTTCCTGGACAGGAAATTAGCACAGCTATGCAGGTCGAAACCACGGGATGACTTGCAGCAGCGACCGCAGCCGAGACAAGGGCGCTTGCACACACACACACATGCACGTCCACGCCCATGCACAAAACCAACACACTCGTGCATGTGTAGGTGTTACTGTGGCTTTTGTTTGTGTATGTGCATGCGCTGTTATCCTGGCTACATTCGTGTGTGTGTGTGTTTGTGCGTGCGCGCGAGTGTGTGTGTGCGTGCGTGTGTGTGCGTGCGTGCGTGTGCGTGAATGTGTTTTGAATCATACCAGGTTGTCCTGCCTACATTTGACCAGTCACTGTTGCGCGAGGATTACTATGTGACCATAGAGATTTGGGACCATGACAAACTGAACCAGGATGACTTCTTGGGTGAGTTTAACTCTTCCATACATGTAGCTAATTGTTACAAACAGCTACTAGTAGTATCCTCTACTCAGTTAGGTATCATGAGGCAAGATGCTTTATAAACTGACAAGCAATGAGTTTTTTGTTGTTGTTAGAAAACAAGCAGGTGACATGGTCCGGTCTCACTTGACTTTCAGACCATCAAGTCAAGGTGACTTTATAGGCTATTCATACTAGGTTACAATACGCGTCACGTTTTGGAATACGACGTACTGGCAGACGCCATTTTCATGCAGGTGCGTTCACACAGGCCAGCACACGCTGCTCGTACAGCTGTGTGTACAGCTTCTTTTGGACACAAACTGCTGGGAACGCCAGAACGAAACTCGGTACAGGGGTCTAGATACGTCGTCTACGTTTTCGTATCAGGAGTACGATTTTCCCGCCACGTTCCATGTTGTCATGGCTATCCGGACGAAAACGTCACGTACGCCATGTTCTGGGCGTAGTGTGAATGGCCCATTAGAGCTCGAGAGTCATGAGACATATATTTGTTTCAGATGAATACCTGCTAAAGGTGTGTGCTGTTACTACTGTACAGTACAAGTACAAATTTTCGTTTGGAATTAACTTTCGCTATTATGCGTAAGGGGGCACGAACTAGCTAAAGTTTGTACCAAAATAAGGGTTTTTTTCTGAACGTTCGTGGTGACAGACCTCGACCAAAAAGGAAATTTAGTACATAGCATAAACAAGCCTGCTGGTGGAGTGAAATAAGTTCAAATAAGGAAAGATTTTATTAACTGGTTTGAGGGAAAGAGACAAACGGGGAAAAGTCTGAAGAAAAAATTGCCTGTCACCACCAGGACTCGAACCAGGGACCCTCGCTTGTAGCCAGCGATGCTCTAACCACTGAGCTATGGTGTAGTCGTCATCCAAGCAGAGACCGTTCAACGTTTTCTCCAGACTTCGTAACTCACACTTCCTGTGAATCCACACAGGAAAGATTTCGTAAACGAAAATTTCTACTTACACAGTACCGTAAAATCCCGCCAGAGCGCCCCTACCTCCTCGACGCTTCAGGTGGGGAGGGGCGGATGGGCGAGTCCTACTTGCCGCATTCAGTGCTACATGAAAAAGTACTCACCCTGCGAAAACTGTTCGTGCATCTCGTACACCGACCAAAGGTCAAGAGCCAGGGGTCGAACAGACCTGACAAAACGCAGGGTTTGTGCGATCCCTGGTCAGGAGGGTGGGCACTGTTGCGTACATTTCCAATGGGGTCAAGCACGCGTCTGCAATTCAGTACGGCATCACAGACTGCGGCAGAGTCATACGAGGATACAATCAATCACGTCCCTGACAAGAAGTCAGGGAGGGGCGGATGGGAGAGACGGGGCGCCCGTGCGGGATTTTACGGTACTACTTAGTTTGGCTACAGTCACTCATGTTAGTGCTAATGGTGATGATGTTCTGGTGGTGTTCTGGTGATGCTGCTGCTGCTTCTTCTGGTGGTGGTGGTGCTGGTGCTGGTGGTGGTGTGTGGTTGTATTGGTGTGTGTGTGTGTGTGCGTGTGCGCGCGTGTGTGTGTGTGTGTGTGTGTGTGCGCGTTTGTGCATGTTTACTCTTCAGGTGCCTCGATGCTGCCACTGGCATTTCTGACGGAGAAGCCGACTACTTGCCTGTTACCGCTTGGCAGGATATCACCCAGTCAGAAAGTCTCTGGAGAAATCCTTGTAACACTCTCTCTCAAGTCATCCTCTCCCGGCGTGAGTCTCGGCTAGCTGCCCATCCGCCGCATACTGCAGAACGGCTAATTTTTTTTGCGCTGGCCTTGCGGTCGCGAGCACTGCTGGTCCAGTTTTGCAGTGTGTACGTGAACTACAGTGGGTGTGCGTACAATAAGGAGAGTGCGGACATCTGTCCCAGTCATTCCACTGGACTTCAATGTCCACACCAGTAGAACATTTATACTGGTTTTCCGTTTTTAATATACGGTAAAACCTGTCAAGGCGAGCACTCGGATAAGGCGACTACCTGTCCAAGAAGACCACTGAAACCAGGATCAAGGGATGCTATTTCCAGTCCAATGACCCTGGATAAGCAGACCACCTGGTAACAGAGACCACATTTTGAAGGTCCCTTGAGCAGTCGTCTTACACAGCTGTTTCACTCTACTGTGCTAACCCGGATTTTAGAAACGTGAACGATGCGTCCGTAAACGAGTGCAGCGTCATGGAAAGCGCGTCACACGAGCACATTGTACTCTGCAGTCATTTGAACCTGACTCGGGTGGTAAAAGAAGTCGGCGACTCTTGTCGTGTGCTCGTGTGACGTCAATGTGATGAACGCCTCGAATGCCACTTGTGTATGAGATGTATGAGTACAGACATTGCACTCGGATACTGAGCCAATAAATCTAATTTAAAATAGAAGAAATCACATGGAAACGAGTTATGAAGCAACTATCCACGACTGTAACAAGATAATAAGCAGTCAGAAAATGCGATAACAGGGTACAAAACTGACATGTTACTGTGACATTCAACAACCTGAGACCTAGCTCTAACACGCCTCCAGTGCGCAAACCACTGTCGTGGAGAGTTGCTTCATAACTCGTTTCCATGTGATTTCTTCTACTTGCAAGTATTTTTAAATTACAGACATTGTACTCAACTTATGTTGCTCTGTATTTGGTGTGTTTGTTTGTTTGTTTGTTTGTTTGTTGCATGCGCTAGGTGTTTGAACGATGCGATGCGAACCATGAGCTGTATGAAGCGTGTTTGCAGCGTAACTTCCATCTTGATATTTCATCTGGAATGGATATCATCCAGTTGCCTGGTGCGTTTTAGGCTGCCTACGTACCTTCTCTCTCTCTCTCTCTCTCTCTCTCTCTCTCTCTCTCTCTCTCTCTCTCTCTCTCTCTCTCTCTCTCTCTCTCTCTCTCTCTCTCTCTCTCTCTCTCTCTCTCTCTCTCTCTCTCTCTCTCTCTCTCTCCTCTCTTCTCTTCTCTCTTCTTTCTTGCTATAATGTACTGTAAAACGACAAACTTTCGCGGCTTTGGCTAAATTTAGCGTTTTGGCAAACTGGACCAGTTAGCGGCGATTAATTTTAGCGATTTTACCTTCCACCGAAAATCAAAGAATTTTATTTTACGAAGCCTCGGAGTGCTGGGTGCAGAGCGCATGAAGAATGAGAGAAGAAATCAAAGAATGAAAGAAGGAATCAAGGAATGTAATCAAGGCATCAAAGAGAACCATAAGGTATGTACTAGTACTGGGAGAAAGGATGGCACGTTCGAAGAGGGATCATCGGAAGGCTTTCTCTTCGAACTGCTGAGCCACTGCGATACTCATCGCGATAAAATTCAGAAGACTTCTTCGAGCAGTACAACACTAAAATCTACGCAACAGCAAGCTGGCCAAACGCTCCAAGAAGTTCAACAACACTCTCCACAACAATGAGACATTCTCCAGTCGATCATTTTATTCTCTTCTGGTTCAAGTCGCCGTACTCCAACGACAACTAATGTTTCAACGGTTACTTGCAAGACTGGTGTTGGTATAGTATGTAAACCCGTCGTTGCAACAGCTGCGCGCTTTGGTTGGACATAGCCGGCCGTGCAAGCATCGATCAGCGCTGTGAATGTACAGTCAGTGCAGTGAGTGATGCATGCACGCATGTACTGTACAGATCTGTGGCGCAAAACGATCGATCATCGACGCATCGCGTAGTACGTAATAGTACAAAATTTCATATTCGCGAGTCAAACTTTCGCGATTCGACCCTGCTCGCGAAAGTCGCGAAAGTTAATCGCTCGCGAAAGTTTGTCGTTTTACAGTAGTCAGGAAAGCATTGTGAAGTTTTGCGCGTACACGTGAAATATTTCCTCTAACAGTCACTTCCATTTAATGAGACCAGTACTAATTCGCATGTGTGTGTGTGTGTCTGCTCATGTGTGCATGCATGTTCTCTGTCTTGTTGTTGCTGCTGCTGCTGCTGCTGCTGCTGCTGCTGCTGCTGTTGTTGTTGTTGTTGTTGTTGTTGTTGTGTTTTCACATATTGTATAGGTCCATCTGAACGTGTGGAGATGGTCTTGAATGATATCTTAGTGGAGATTAGTGGTTGGAGATCAGTTGCTCAAGTCTACCTGACAGACTACAGGTATGTCGTGCAGTTTATGTAGCTGTGTGTGTGTGTGTGCGTGTGTGTGTGTGTGTGTGTGTGTGTGTGTGTGTGTGTGTGTGTGTGTGTGTGTGTGTGAGTGTGTGTGTGTGTGTGTGTGTGTCGGAGTTCAATTGACACCACTTTACTTGTGTGCGTGTGGGTATACCATTATGTCACGTATGCTGGCATCATGGGCAAATAGGTTATCTGCTGACCGGACTCTCTTCGTGTGCTTCTTTTCCAATCATTCTTCTCTTCTTGTATCAATCGCACTGTTGGGTGCCAGTACATTCTCAACTGTTATGAGTTTGTGCTTTGGACGGCGTTGGAATTTTAGATTTGATCCCGTCTTTTGTGTGGGTGTGCGTGTGGGTGTGTGTGTGTGTGGGTGTGGGTGTGTGGGTGTCTGCATGCGTGTACATGGTATCGTGTGTTGTATGCGTATCAGGTTGGTGTTGATTTGCCATAAAGACAAGCAACGCTTGCTGGAGACTGGCACTGATTTGTCAATGTGGGTTGCCCTTAGTAACATTGTCATGGTGGAACGTAGTGAATCAGATCAGGTATGTGCCTATGTACTTCATGATGGTACAGGTGCTGTTGTGTTTGCCATTGATAAAGAAAATGTGTGTGTGTGTGTGTGTGTGTGACTGTGTCCGTGTGTGTGTGTGCGTGCGTGTGTGTGTGGGGGGGGGGGGGGTGGCTGTGTGCGTGTTGGCCAGAAAACCCCACTTCAAATAGCTGTGTGGTGTAGACCAGGCTGAATAGTGGCGGTCAATTCTTCAGCCTAGCAAGCTGTTGAATGGTGCAATCCCAGCACAAGTTGCTATAGCTTCTGCTGTAGCATCGCTATCATAACCTCCCGTGATGGGCCATAAACGGTGTGGGTGTTTGTGTGCGTGTTTGTGTGGGTGTGTGGGTGTTTAGGTGTGGTGTAAACCAGGCTAAAATTAGTGGCGGTCAATTCATCAGCCTTGCAGCCTGTTGAATGGTGTAATCCCGGCACAAGTTGCTTTGTCTAACGTAGCCGTTCGCTATCATCACTTCCGCGATGGGCAGGTCTGAGGTCTGGGATGTGTGTGTGTGTGTGTGTGTGCTTTTATCAAAGCTGTGTTCTGTCTATACTGGTTACCCCAACAAGTGTAGGGTGTGCATAGGTAACTAATTGTCTTGGCTGTCCTATTCCGATGTACTCCGTGTGGTGTAGACCAGGTGTGCATTGGTGGTCGATTCACATGGCTTCGCCAGTTGTGTGGATTAAACAGTTATCTGGCGCAAGTCTCGATCTGTCTCATTCAGATCTTGTTTGCTATCGTTGCTATAAGAGAAAATCTGCGGGTGCACATCCAGTGCATTTGCAGGTTTGTGTGCTTGTCTTGCGACGGGTGTATAGATGGTACATGGTGTGTTTGAGTGTTCATTTCAAGGTCAGCCATAGCTTCTCACTGGCCGATATTTGTTGATGTATAGTATACAATGGGACCTTTCGGCACTCACATGTTTGTGTGTGTGTGTGTGTGTGTGTGTTCTATTGTTAGGTTGTGCGTCGTTCCCTATCTAAGTCCCGGCCCGCAACATCGCATATCGACGACTCACCATCATCACTCTTGATCATGTGTTCAGATTTCAGAACCATTCGATTGACGTTTGTCACCGTTTCCAGCTTGTCTGGTATGTTGAAGATGTGTGTGTGTGTGTGTGTGTGTGTGTGTGTGTGTGTGTGTGTGTGTGTGTGCGCGCGCGCGTGTATGTGTGTGTATGTGTGTGTGTGTGTGTGCGTGTGTGTGTGTGGTTGCTGACTTTGTTTTGTGTGGTGATATTTCTTGTATTTACCGCGATGATGGGCCAGGCCCGAACATTTGGTGTAATATTGACAACGACAACATTTGGTGTAATATTGAGTGTTTGGAATCGCAGTACAGACACCGTCATTGGACTGTTGGAGTGAAGTTTCGCACACATATAATTTTTGGTCTGTGCTTGTTGACTGGATCTCAGCTGACGAAGATGACGAAGCATCTCAATCCTCCATCTGGTACGACACGTCTGCTGCCGCTGCCAGCGCTGGCGGTGGTGCTGGTACTGGAACTGGTGAGCCAGATGATGCATCATCCACATCCAGTGGTACAGCTGCTACAGCTTCTGACGCTGGTCTAAACAAAAAGACAACACCAGCAACAGCAAGCGTAGCTGCCACCTCCGGTAGTTCCTCCGGTTTCATTCTCCACAGTGGCAGCGCCACTAGCGTGGATGCTGCTGACAAACCTAACACACCCGCCACTAGCGTGGATGCTGCTGACAAACCTAACACATCCACACCCGCGGCCACGTCATCGCCGTTGGCGGCCACATCAGCTGTGGCGTCTTTCAAGCGCACCACGTCCGCTTCAGCATCCGCCTTTGCCGGTGAGTGTTGGATGATCCTGCGTTGTCATGCACCTCATGCACCAGTATCTATCCATGCAATACGTATACTCTTTCAATGCTGTCAATGTCCTGTAGAACCTGTCAAGGCGACCGCTCTGATAACACCACTACCTGCTTCAGGGGACCACTACAAATAGGACCAAGAACTTGGGCAAGAAGGCGTCTTGTTTCTCCTGGATATGGAGACCACCTGTACACAGCGACCACATTTTGAAGGTCACTTGAGTGGTCGCCTTAGTCAGCTTACACTCTGCTCTTCAATAGAGAGGCTAAGATGCACGTTATTTCTGACGTGACGCGAAAGTTCAGCTCGCGTTATTTGGCTCGCGCGTCGAAAAACAACGCGAGTGACCTGCAGCTCACGTCGACATTTGGAGTTTTACGCCAAATTCGACATGAAATTGTGCGTCGCGTCAGAAGTAATGTGCATCTTAACCTCTCTAAAGTCGACATAATCAGTACCTAAGACGGAGAGGCAGCGTCGTCTGTGCATTATGATCGGTTTACGTTTGTTGCACACTCTGTCATTCCTACATGTTGTATGCATGGGGGGGGGGGGGGGGGGTCTCCATGCAACTGCATGGATGTCATCCTCACTTGTGGAGGTGAACCTTGAAATTTGAAGGTGTGTGTGTGTGTATGTGTGTATGTGTGTATGTGTGTGTGTGTGTGTGTGTGTGTGTGTGTGTGTGTGTGTGTGTGCGTGCTTGTGTGCGTGCGCGCGCGTGTGTGTTTGTGCATGTTTGTGTGTACGTGTGTGCACGCGCGCGCGCATGTTTGTGCGTGCATTTGCGCGTGCACAGGCCGACTAAAGCAAGGCTTCCGTCGCAACAACTCCACGCAGCCAGCCCAGCCCACTGCCACGTTTGCCACCACCATGCCTGGCGTAGGCGAAGATGAGATCACAGCAACACGAGGCGCTAGAAGCAGCACGTTCGCTAGTATTGATAGCACCACTGGTGTAATGAAGGACAGCGGTAATGCTGCTGCTGCAAGGAACAAACCAGCGCGACCGGAGCAACCAGCGCATATAAACACGCCGTCCGCAGTCAATGCCGTCAGTGGCATGGCTACTAACCAGCCGCCGCCGTCATCGCATGCTAGCCTAGCTGTGACCACGTCTTCTCCGTCAGCTTGTCCAGCCTCGTCGTCCTCGCCTGGCACTGAGGATACAGCTGGCGGTGGAGCCACGACTAGCTCCACTGCTAACAGTGGTGCTACTGGTGGTGACGTCATCATGACATCATCGCCGTCTAGCCAGGCAGGTGTAGCAGATGCTGGTGATGATGCTAGAGATGATGTGGCTCCACTAGGTCAGGGTGTGGTGGTGACACAGAGTAGATCAACAACACAACGAGGACCACGCCCAGCAGCACAGCGCACACCATCGTCGTCGTCATTGTCATCATCATCGCGCAGGACGAAACGAACCAGCACTCCCCTGGGTCCGGCGTCCGGTGTAAGTGTGAGTGTGTGCGTGCGTGTGCGTGCGTGTGTGTGTGGTTGGGGGGGGGGGGGGTAAGGGTGAGTGTGTGCGGGCACGAGCGTGTGCGTTTGTGCGTGTGCTCCAAATAGCTGTGTGGTGTAGATCAGGCTGAATAGTGGCGGTGAATTCTTCAGCCTAGCAAGTTGTTGAATAGTGGCGGTGAATTCTTCAGCCTTGCAAGCTGTTGAATAGTGCAATCCCAGCACAAGTTGCTATGGCTTCTGCTGTAGCAACACATCATCGCCTTCGGCGTCGATGGGCGTCACAAGGGCAAAGGTGTGCCTCACAGTGTGTTGACCTGCCCCTGTTCAGTGTTGACCTGCCCCTGTTCAGTGTTGACCTGCCCCTGTTCAGTGTTGACCTGCCCCTGTTCAGTGTTGACCTGCCCCTGTTCAGTGTTGACCTGCCCCTGTTCAGTGTTGACCTGCCCCTGTTCAGTGTTGACCTGCCCCTGTTCAGTGTTGACCTGCCCCTGTTCAGTGTTGACCTGCCCCTGTTCAGTGTTGACCTGCCCCTGTTCAGTGTTGACCTGCCCCTGTTCAGTGTTGACCTGCCCCTGTTCAGTGTTGTCCTGCCCCTGTTCAGTGTTGACCTGCCCCTGTTCAGTGTTGACCTGCCCCTGTTCAGTGTTGACCTGCCCCTGTTCAGTGTTGACCTGCCCCTGTTCAGTGTTGACCTGCCCCTGTTCAGTGTTGACCTGCCCCTGTTCAGTGTTGACCTGCCCCTGTTCAGTGTTGACCTGCCCCTGTTCAGTGTTGACCTGCCCCTGTTCAGTGTTGACCTGCCCCTGTTCAGTGTTGTCTCGCTATCTGTACAGTGTAAAGTGCAGTGTCTGTCGGAGGTACTTGGACCCGGTTCGGGGGTACTTGGACCCGTTTGAAAAAATAACACCGGCTGGAACTTGGGAGTCGTGTCGAATACTTAAAAAACGATTATTTCCCAATGCTGTATATATCAGGGAATAATTTAACCTGTATCGCATGGCTGTTTGCTATGCAATTCTTCTGAGATGCGAAGCAACTTCAGGTATGTTTCGCTGTGACCTGTTGTGCACGGTATGCATGCCGGGTGAACAGTGTCTCTTAAGGTTGAAATAGATGCACGAAACTTCGATTGTGCTGAGCTATGCATCCTGGCACCAGCCTAGGCTTGCAACTAAGGTGTTACAGTGTACTTGTGGTCTGAGCTTGCACTCTGATCAGCTCTCCAGAATGACAATGTTGGCAAGTGTTGAAGAAAATTGCTATGCAACATTTTCGAATTGCTATTCAAGTTTGATTTTGCTTAGCAGAATTGCTATGCAAAAGATTGAAAGTAAATTATTCCCTGTATATATACGTGTATACGTGTATATATATACAATATTATTGAGTAGTTTGAGGGAAAGACACAAACGGAAAAGTCTGAAGAAAAAATTGACTGTCACCACCAGGACTGGAACCAGGGACCCTCCAGTGCCGCCTATACTCCAGGGTGGCTTGTACTCCAGTGTCACTTATACTCCATTGTCACTTATACTCCAGTGTGGCTTATACTCCAGTGTGGCTTATACCCCAGTGTGGCTTATACCCCAGTGTGGCTTATACCCCAGTGTGGCTTATACCCCAGTGTGGCTTATACCCCAGTGTGGCTTATACTCCAGTGTGGCTTATACTCCAGTGTGGCTTATACTCCAGTGTGGCTTAAACTCCAGTGGGGCTTATACTCCAGTGGGGCTTATACTCCAGTGTGGCTTATACTCCAGTGGGGCTTATACTCCAGTGGGGCTTATACTCGGGAAAGGCTGGGGTGGCACAGCGGTGCACAGGGTTGCAAAGCTGTGTTACCTGATAGTGACGTTTGTTTGGATAAGATGTAGAGAGAAAATAACCTATAAGTTACTAGTTATGACTAACAGTCCACCAAGGTAACGAGATAATGTACAGTCAAATAGTACGACAGCGAGGCACAAACCTGACAAGGATATTGAGACATTCGACGACCTGACACCTAGCTCCAATACATCTTTGAAGCGCAAATCAACAACCTTTCTACTTGGAAGGCTCAGGTGCGGAAAGTTCCTATGAGGGGAAGGGATGCGCCACGAAGATGTGCACGAGCTATGTCCCGCGGCAACAAAGAATGTCAAACGTTTACAATACAGGATGATGATGCCGAGACTAGTGAGACCATTGGATAAACTGGTCTAACTAAAACTCGGAAACGCAAGGCAACAGACCACGATTTTGTTGGTTTGCGCTTCATAGATATGTTGGAGCTAGGTGTCAGGCCGTCGAATGTCTCAATATCCTTGTCAGGTTTGTGCCTTGTTGTCACACTATCTGACTGTATATTATCTCGTTACCTTGGTGGACTGTTAGTCATAACTAGTAACTTATAGGTTATTTTCTCTCTACATCTTACTATTGTTACGATTGGCTCAACATACGAGTTAGGATAAGAAGTTTCTCGGTGTGTGTGTGCGTGCGTGTGGGTGCGTGCGTGCGTGCGTGCCCGTGTGTGTGTATGTGTGTATGTGTTCGTGTGTGTATGTGTTCGTGTGTGTATGTGTTCGTGTGTGTGTGTGTGTGTCTGAGTGTGTGTGTGGGTGTGGGTGCGCGCGCGTGTATGTGTCTGTGTGGGCGTGTTCATGTGTGTACGTGCATATGCATGTATATCTGTATAGAAGGGTCTGGCTATGACGCTATCCAGCACATCATCGCACAGTCAAGAGGACGAAGAGAATGTCCTACAGTCCATACGCAGCAGTATCTACCTCTCTCCCGGACCGGGTGTCTTCACAGCCGATACGCTGTCGTCAGACTCGGTTAGTCCGCCATCGTACACCGTTCGCGTGCAGGACAATGGCAAAGAGTATCGTGCCACCACGCAGCCAGCACACGCAGCATCCTCATCGACCTCATCCACAGATGGTGAGAATGCCAGCAATGCGCCAAGCTTTGTCTCCAGTGCCAGCGGAGCTCTTGGCAATCTAGCGGAAAGTACGGGTCAAGCGTTACGCGGTTACGTGGATAAGAGTCTGCACTACTTGTCGCGAGAGCAGATCACCTGTGTGCTGTATTCGATGCTGTGGAAATCTGGAATTGCGGACTTGACCAGGTGAGGAGGGTTGCTCCTGCTGCTGTTGCTGTTGCTGCTGCTGCGTGTGGAGCTGCCTGTTAGGAGACTAGTACACCTTATCCTTGTCACTCGGTGTGTGTGTAAGTGTGTATGTGTGTGTGTTTGTACATGTACGTGTGTATGTGATTGTGTGTGTGTGTGTGTGTGTGTACATGTGCGTGTGTGCGTTCGTGTGTGTGTGTGTGCGTTCGTGTGCGTGTGTATGGGGGGGGGGGGGGTTCTGGCTGGCCGGCGAATGTTTATCGCGAGTAGTTGGCTTGCATGCTGGTTGGCTAGTTATTTGGTTGGCTGACTGGTTGCCTACTCTGTGCGCTGGCTGTGCTGCTGGCTGTGTGGCTGGCTGTGTGGCTAGCAGTCTTGCTGGTCTGGCACCCTGGCAGGCCAGCTTGCTGTCAGTAGTTGTGTGGCTGGTTTGCTTGCTATTGGGCTGGTTGGTTGGCGGCTTGGCTTTTTGACTGCCTGTGTATATGTGTGGTTGACTGGCTGTCTATCTGTGTATTTGTGTGCGTGTGTGTGTGTGTGTGTGTGTGTGTGTGTGTGTGTGTGTGTGTGTGTGTGTGTGCGTGTGTGTGTGTGTGTGGCGGTCAATTCATCAGCCTTGCAAGCTGTTGAATGGTGTAATCCCAGCACAAGTTGCTTTGTCTAACATAGCTGTTCGCTATCATCGCCTCCGCGATGGGCATGTCTGAGGTCTGAGGTGTGTGTCTATCTGGATAGCTGTGTATCTGTGTGACTTGATGAATGGTTGGCTATATGTCTGCTTTTAAATAGTGCATACACCAGAGACAGGATGCTGTTTAGCTGTTTCAACTAATCTATCCCATATCTTATGTGTACTTGTGTGTATGTGTGCGTGTGCATGTGTGTGTACGTGTGTGTATGTGTGTGTGTGTGTGTGTGTACATGTGTGTGTGTGTGTGTGTGTGTGTACATGTGTGTGTGTATGTGTGTGTACGTGCACCTTAGTTCTCAGCATCAGGCTCATCGTCCTGTAGTGTCGTTACAACAACGTTTGGAGTTTGTTATCAACAACGCGGCAGATTGTCCACCAAGCAAGCTGTTTGTACGGTGAGTGCATCCCACTTTTTTTACTCCGTCTGTGTGTGTTTGTGTGTGGGGGGGGGGGGGCATGTGTGTGTGTTTTTGTGTGTGTGTGTGTGGGGGGGGGGGGGGGGGAGTGCATGTGTGTGTCCGTGTGTTTGTGTGTAGGTGTGCGTGTGCGCGCGCATGCATGTACTGTATGTGCCAATGAACCGTCTTGAAAAAGATCAGGTTTGTATTTGTGATTCCTGTTATGGTGCTTTCCGGTGTTGATGCTATTCCTTGTGTGTTGTGTTTATGCCTTATATGGTGTTCTGTAAGCAGGCAATGCCCCAGGGGTATGGCTTTGGACGGCTGGTCAGTATTCGACATGAAAGCAGAGATGGCAAGATTGAATGTAAGCCTCAAGATCAGCATTGTCGAAATGCTTGCCCGATGCTCCATTTATTCCAGCTTGTTACACACATCGCCAGAGAATTAAATTAAACAAATTCTGCAGTATCCAGGGGAGATAACTCAGACGCGTGGAGCGTGAAGCGACGTGTGTGTTCGCTTGTGTGGAGCATTCCGTCTCTTTTGGACAGCTCCTATGGCATAGCCACTGATTAGACTGTGTTGGGGGTTGGAGGTCAGCTGATCTCCGCCATGCCGATGCCTTATGACCAATACTGTACAGGCAGAAAATTTTGTCGGTCAATAATTTCGTCCAACTCCAAAGAAAGAGAGTTCGTCCGGTTGTAAATTTCGTCCATGGATCATAAGAGTGTATAGAAAAGCTGGACAAATCGACATAAGTCCGGCATTTAATTTAGTCCAAAAGCTCCTTGGACGAAAAAGACGAAATTAAATTCCAGACGAATATTTCTGCTTATACAGTAGTACATAACCTTCTCCCCCCCCCCCGAGTGTGCACCGTTAAATATGGTGCGATATGCGCCATATATGCGGAATTGGGCACACACAATACTTGGCAAAGGCAACCCAGCATTGTTTGCAATAATAGATTCGCCCCGATAATGGCTTTACTCTGCAACTTCCAGGCGAAGCGCCAGCACCGAAAAAGAGCCCTAAAAGTTGCACTTTTATTTTCCAAATCCGACCCCAGGCCCGGGAAATTTGAAACTCAGCTCAATATCGCCAAAAAGAGACTATTAATATCCCTTGCTCACAAGAGCTTCCCTGGTGGTATCGTCTTGTTCCGAGGCAATGTTTGGGAAGGTGCGGGCATTAGCTGCCCTAAGTTTCGCGGAAAGCTCCAAGCGACATCATTTTCCTCGCTTTCTCGCCAGAGTTTTCAAGACCGACGCAACTCGTCGTCAAAAAGTACTCAGCGTGGATTTCGTGCCGAATTCCGCCCCAAACAATTTAGGCTGACCTCTCGCCACCAATCGAACCCACTGATATGTATCTACCTATACACGAGCAATGGTTTGAGCCCAAAGAAGGACAACTTCACAACGAGCACACTTTCTGAGGGTAATATTTTCTATGTATATCAGTATTAGAACACCATCAAGACGACAAATTGACCAGCAGAAAGACATAAAGTTGCACTACAAATACAGCAGCTGTATAAACATAAATAATTGAACAGAAAACTATGTAACTGGATCCCACCAAAAACAGTAAAGCATCCCAAATAGTATGCGCATACACATATACATGAAGGAAGGCTATGTTGCCACCATACACTGGCTACGCACACGGACATCATTCTGGAGAGCTGAGCATCAGCGTGCGCACACCCCCACACACACATCTGCATGCACGCGCGCACACCCACACATGTGAATGCACACGTGCGCGCGCGTGCGCGCACACACACCCACACACCCACATATACACATGCACACGCGCACACTCCTGCCCTGTGCTGTCGAGCCACTGCCACAAGGGTTGCGTGGGCCTCGAAGGCACCGGAGAGAGAATAGGAGAACGCAGTCCCATAGATACACACACACGCACACACACACATGTACACAACACGTGCAAGTACATACGTGGCAGCTTACTACAAGAGAACCACACAAGTTCACATGTGGGCATGAACTGTATTCACAGTTGGTCATACTGTCTTGGGCATATGAGGGAGGAGCAGGAGAGTGAGTGCGTGACTCAGACACAATGCGCTTCGACATGCTAGCACATGCACCGGTTTCGGACAGTGGCAGAACGTGACGGAGAGAGAGAGAAAGAGAGAGAGAGAGAGAGAGAGAGAGAGAGAGAGAGAGAGAGAGAGAGAGAGAGAGAGAGAGAGAGAGAGAGAGCACCAGCGTTCCAGCTCAAGCTCCACATTTCTAGTTGCTTCTCCTGGTCACAGTAAACACAGAACAGGGCTCAGGCAGTGCCGAGGAAGTGCTTGTACTTGGTGCAGTGTCGTGAGCAGGATAAACTTCCAACATCTCTACACAGTGTAGCTCTTCAGGCGCACACGAGGACTCAGAAACCGGAATATACTTTACATGATGATTGAAAGTCCAGCAGCACAACAAAACTTCCAAGGACTGGTTTGGCACTAGCTTCCGTCTCATTGGCGTGTCCCCAGCCAGTTTTGGAAAGAAAGAGTAGACGTTCATTCCTCGTTCAACCTGCAATGAACTGGAGACAACACAAACCAACAGGACGACGATGGTTGTCATCAGCTCATGTGTTCATCACCGCAGTGGTACCATTCACTTTCCTGCTCCAAATGCACTACCAGGCTGCATGGTACTACTGTCGTGGACATGGAAATCCGGTCGCACGTATAGCGGCCCCAGGGCGCTGGCCATGCAGCCGTAGCACGGTTTATCATGCGCTGCTGATAGTCGCATTGGATCAACATGTGCACTGCATGCAACGTTCTGTACGCGCTGAGGGCGCCGGCCCCGGTCAATCGACTGGATTTCCATGTCCGCGACAGTACGATGTGTCGATAATATACCGTGATTTGCATTTCCAATGATTAGGACTGGTATTATTTCTATTTTTCACACTTAGAAAGAAAACAAGGGGCAAGATTTGATATGGATTATGTGGTTGTTGGCTATGTCAACATTTGAAAGAGGGTTGCAACCGTGATAGCACTGCAACATGAGTTTAAACCTACGTATTGCATGGTATACTCAACAGTTGGCGAGCAGAGAATTTCGTGCCGAATTCCGCCCCAAGGTTGTGCACAGCAAACAACTTGATATATCATTAGCCCTACCCTTGTGCTATACGTACCCGTTGTGCCGATCGAGCCTGAGCCCTCTACTCGACTCCACGGTCCAATGACATTCGGTCATCATGGCCAAATTCAAGTCACTCAAGTGTTGAGAAGTGTCTACGTCGTCGCACACAGCATGTGTCGACATACAAAAATATGTGTACGATAGAGAAAGAACTACTGAAGAGCAACCAACTGGTTTCAGCATTCTCCTTCAAAGGATAGGTCGGTGGCAGAGGACCAAAGCCGGACAATAGTTGGAAATTCTCAGCGTTGAATTTCTACAGGCTGTAGATACCTGGAAAAGCTCGATTTCCCGCCACGGAAAATAAAAAAGTCTTGATTTGGGGTGCTGGCGCTTCGCCTGCTTCAACTCTACTGTAAAACGGCTAATTTTAGCGCCGGTGATATTTTTTAGCGATTTTAGAGGGTGGTGGCGTTCCTGCGGATGCGGAAAACTGGGCCTTTGGCCGAGTCTCACGCGAACCGTGAATTTTTTTTAGCGAAAGGAGTGTTTTCGCTAAAGTTTATCTGCACCTTAAAACTCGGATGTTGAGCCAATAATAAATGTAGAAAGGAAGAGGACATTATGGTTACAGTGATGGAGAGTTACTCTTAACTCGTATCCATTATGTCCTCTTCCTTTCTACATTTTTCTGCACCAATCGTCATTTTGCATGTTCACTGCTAGTCTTATTCTTGTTTTACTCTGAAACTCGGATCGCTAAATTATTTCATCGCATAATGGTCCTGATGCAGGAAACGCTAACACTTGTAAATAATCGACGCGGACACAAACCATTTTATAATAGCAGTAAAGAAAGCAAATTCTGCTGTCATCGCCACACTACAACGAAGTCACGAAAGTTTACCAAAATCGATTTTCTTGACACATTCATCAGTGGAAAGTCGTGACTGAAGAGTAACCATGCTGGCCCTTTGAGGAATATTCTTTCTATTGCTAATGAGTGATATGCACAGGTTTTGTGCGCCCGCTTCTGGATCTTCAGTCACGCCTTGTACCAAGAGTACATAACCCCCCAGAGTGTGCAACGCCTGATCCAGCTCTGCGTAGGTCTTGGTCGAGCGTAATCGGATCTTTGCGTCATAATCCCGTACACATCTGAGAGGAACCCAGGGAGTCGCGGGTACTCTCGGATCAAAAACAACGGTGCCCTGCCTCGAGACCGGCCTTGTGCTGGTGTGGAGTGTACGCATGACATCCGAAGATCCGATTACGCTCGACTAAGACCCTATGCAGAGCTGGATCAGGCGTTGCACACTCTGGGGGGTTATGTACTCTTGCTTGTACCCGCTAAAATTACTTGTAGCCGTTCTACAGTATATGGGTAATGAAGCTACAAGTACAGTAAAAATGTAGCGTTGCTGTTGTCAACTAAGGGTGTGTATTCTAGGGTAGCGTGGGCTTAAGGCTGGCCATATTTCATCAATGTTGTTCCACCTATCCCTGTGTGTGTGTGTATGCGTGTACGTGTATGGGTGTGTGTGTGTGTGTGTTTTTTTTCTCTCTACAAAATCCACATATCTCGAGACACTGGGGTGAATAATGGGAGTGTGGTGGTGGTGGTGGTGGTGGTGTTGGTGGTGGTGGTGTTGGTGGTGGTGGTGGTGTGTGTGTGTGTGTGTGTGTGTGTGTGTGCGCGCGCGTGTGCATGTGTGTGCATGCGTGTGTCTGTGTGCCTTTTGTTGGTTGTAGGTATCTGATAGATGGCGCTGTGTGCGGAACACAGATATATGTGCTACTTATCCGGACTATCTGTATGTTCCCAGTGCCATATCGGTAAGGACCAACAGTGTTCACATGTCGTATGTTTGGCTCAGTATCCATCCAATCCATCCGCATTTCCTGTTATAAGCAGTCACACGCCCACAGGCTCCATGTTCGAGAAGACTTCTGGTCTCTGTTGTTTTTCAAGA